AAAAACCAAAAAAAAAAAAAAAAAAAACAAAAAAAAAAAAAAAAAAAAAAAAAAGCGGGGAGTACCGGGAGGGGAAGCGCGAGGGAGGGGGGGTCACTCCTCGCTTATTGATTGCGTGGATGCTGGATGTGAAAATATATTATGTCTGCCTGTGCTTGGCTCGTCAGAGACTAAGGTAAGCCGGACTCAACTAGGCGATGGCTCGGTGAATGGCGGAGAATATGTCCCGATGATTTATGACCATATGACTCCCAGCTCGGTTCAAGAAGAGTTCACAAGCTTTAAGCTTCCTTCCACGCAGAGCCTCTTTTGCAGCCCTCACCCACCGCCTGGGTTGTTGGTTTTTTTAATTCCGCCCCCCCCCCCCCCTTTTTTTTTTTTTTTCTTATTTATTTAATTTTTTTCCCCCCCCGCGTTCCTTTTAAATTTTTTAATTATTTTTTTTCCGCCTCTCGCCGCGTTCTTTTTTAATTTTTTAATTATTTTTTTTCCGCCTCTCGCCGCGTTCTTTTTTAATTTTTTAATTATTTTTTTTCCGCCTCTCGCCGCGTTCTTTTTTAATTTTTTAATTATTTTTTTTCCGCCTCTCGCCGCGTTCTTTTTTAATTTTTTAATTATTTTTTTTGTCCGCCTCTAGCCGCGTTTTTTAATTTTTTAATTTTTTAATTATTTATTTTTTTTATTTCCCCCCCCCCTCCTCTCCGCGCGTTTTTCCAGCCGGGGGGAGTTGTCGCTTTGGGCTGGGGGGGGGCAGGGAGGAAGGGAAATTTGGGCAATGTTTCGTTGTTTTTCCCTTCGCGGGGCTCCGGGGCTCGTCCCCGGCTCCCGCCCCATTGTTGCGGGGCACGGTTGCAATATTTGGGATTAATAAAAACCGGAATTAACGGCGGGGCTGAGCCCGGCTTGGCGCTCGGGGAGATGGAGCCGCCGCGGGCGGGGGAGGGGAAAGGCGCTGCTTTTCCTCCGGCCTGGGGAAATTGGGATTTTTCCAACATGGAGGGGCCGCTTTTCCAGCAGAACCCTCCGGCCCCGGCTCCCTCCTCTCCCCTTCTCTGATTTCTGCATTTCCCCATTTCTATTTTCTCCCCCCCGAGCATCCTCATCCCTCCCCGCACCCCTTTTCCCCCTGCCTCACCTTTTCCCCCCTGCCGATCCTTCATTTATTCTGATTTTTTTTAATTTTTTTTTTTTTTTTTTTAAATTTAAATGGCCCCAAATCTTCGCCCTCCGAAGTTGCAGGCAAAGAGTTTTTGGGGAATCGCTGCCGGAGTGAAACTCGGAGCGGGCTGGAGCAGCTCCCGCCCGCCTTTAATTGGAGCAGGAGATCATCGAATATTTATTATTCTGCCCGGGCCTTTTTTTTTCCCTTTTTTTTTTTTTTTTTTTTCTTTTTTTTTCCCCTTTTCCTAAGCAATTCCTTGGAGTAAATAATTAGGATTGCGGCCGTCCCGGGCGAAGATAAATGAGCGGCATTTGTGAGGCGCTGAGAGATGAGGTACAAAGCGGAGCCACGAGCGAGGCGGAGGGGGTTGTAAATTTATTTTATGGACGTTTAAAACAACAAGAACCCAAAAAAAAAAAAAAAGAATAATCGCCGTTATTTTTAGCTACTTTGGCCGAGCCTCACAAGGTCCTGGTTTGGGTTTGTTTCGCTGCTTTTGGGTTTTTGGTTTTTTTTTTTATTTTTAAATAAATCTTTAACCAGACAGAAAGGCCTTGGAGAAATTCCCACCTCAGCCCCCTCGCAGATATTTCCAGCAAACCTATTCATAATAAAGGCGCTGCTGTTTGTTAATTAATTAATTCACGGCTCGGGGAGCGGAGGCTACTTTTTTAATAAGACAAATTTATCATGGCCAGGGAGGAGGAGGAGGAGGAGGAGGAGAATAACTCGCAGCGAGGATCTGCCCTCGGCGCAGACAATAACGCATCTCCGAGGAAGATCCGATGCGGATTTGGGAATGCGGGAAGGATTTAATCAGGGTAAAAAAATAAATAAATAAATTAAAAAAAAAAAAAGCCGAGCCGTCCCTTCGTGGACGCTGCGAGGATGGGGCGAAGCAAACGGAGCTTTGGTGTGACGTGACATAAAAACAGCAGCCAGGAAAAGGAGAGAGAGATTAAAAAAAAAATGTTATTTATTGTCGAGCTGGGGCTTCTGTTAAACCCCCGGCACTTAAAAATATCGCGCTGGGCTTTATCTCGGCGGGGTTTGTTTTGTTTTGTTTTCCAGGATGAAAGAGGCCCAGATAAAATTGAATATACAGGAGATAGGATTAAATATACAAAGGATATCAATCCCCAAACAAATGCTCCGTGGCTCCTCGGGCTGCAGAGAGGACATTCTGCCTTTCTAAAAATCCCTCTGCCGGCTATTTCCGAGTCGTTTTCACCTTTTTTTCGGGGTATTTCTACTCTGTTTTAATGGAGGAGAAAGTTTGTGCTGGCAGAAAAGCGAGAGAGAAAAGAAAGAGATGGAGAAAAATCAGAAAAATGGCAGAGATAGAGACAGGGGAGGGAGAAAAAAAAGGTTTAAATTTGTGATTTTAAGCTTTGGACTGGGGTTTTTTTTTAGACTTTTGGAGCTTGGCTTGAGGGAGGGAGGAAAGCTGGAAAATCCAAGGGGTGCAAAGTGAGGAGCAAATGGCCTCGTGAAGTGTTTGTTTTCCACGAGAAAGAGAGGGAAAAAAAAAATTAAAAATAAAATAACAACAGCGATTAAACCCCAGCGCGTTCGGGATCAGCGCCTCCCCAGCTCTGGACTCGGGATGAGAGACACAAAACCGTGCCGGGAAAAAAACAAAAAAAAAGAAAAAACAGGATTTATTTTCTAAATTCAACCTGTCAGAGACGGGAGAGAGACCCAGAGCAGGCCGGGGGGAGAAATCGCATTTTGAATTCCTGCCGCTGCTCCGACCTGCTGGGAATCTTTGCCCTGAATTCCAGAGGCGCTGGGAGTTCCTGTGTAAACAAAAAAGGGAGCCAAGTGTGCCAGGACAGCGTTACCTGGGGAAAAAACACGGATTTTCGATGTTACCTGGGGAAAAACACGGATTTTTGCTGTTACCTGGGGAAAAACACGGATTTTCGCTGTTACCTGGGGGAAAACACGGATTTTCGCTGTTTGCAGCTCAAAAGCAAACAAGCCCCGGGGATAAACTTTGAATTTGTGCCGGTGGGAGGTTTTTGGGGCTGCTCCGTGTGTGATTTCAGTAGAAATTGCAGGACTTTGGTGGTTTTGATGGTTTTGGCCGGCGATTCTCGGTTCTGTGCTCTCGTGTTTGTGCTAATTTGGGGTTGATCTGGGTGTGCAAACGTGTGAGTGACTCACACCCCCGGCGGTGTTTCAGGGGGATAAATCCACAATAAATCAACGTACAGAGGCGCGAAGCCGCAGAGCGAAACGAGCTGGGGGGGAAAAAAAAAAAAAAAAAAAGCCCTGCCACCCCCAAAACTCCCCAAAAAATCAAAATTTGCCGAGCCAGGGCAGGGTGAAATCTGCTGGCAGCATCTGTTCCCCCCACCCCGTTCGGCGGGACCCTATTCATGTCAGGAGCCTTTCAGGCCCCAAGATGGATTCCTGGCACTATTATTGTGTTTTTTCTCCTAACCTTTCAGGTCAGCTCCCACCAGACAGCTGGAGAGGGGCCGTCACGTGGCCTCGGGGTGCCAATGTTCTGCCATAGGGGTGTCAAGACCCTGGTAGGCACAAAAACGCTCGCGGAAGATGCAGAAGGCCTCGTACTACGACAGCTCCACGCTCTTCGGGGGTTACTCCTACGGCAGCGCCGCCGCCGCCAATGGATTCGGCTACGAGGGCGCCCAGCCGCCTTTCCAGGCCTCTTCCCACGTGGAGAACGACTTCCAGAGGTCCTCGTGCTCCCTGCAGTCCCACGGCAAAAATAAAGAGCTCAACGGGAGCTGCATGCGGCCCGGGGAGACGCCGGCGTCGCCCGACGCCGCCGACGCCGACGGCGGCAGCGGCCGGGCCGGTGGCGGGAAAAACAACCCCGGCAAAGGCAGTGCGGGGGCCGGCGCCGGCATCTCCAAGCAGATCTTCCCCTGGATGAAGGAGTCGAGGCAGAATTCCAAGCAGAAGAACGGCTCGCCCGGCGCAGGTAGATGGGCAGGCCTCGGTGACGCGCTCCGGCCTCGCCCGCGATGAAATAACAAGGTTAAAAAGCAAAAAGAGAAATTGGTGCGAGAGGTGTAAGAGCGGCCAAGGGTTGCAGGAATCCCTTTAGGGAAGGCCCAAATTCCTGTTTTCCGGACCAGAATTCCAAAAACAGGTCTAAGAATCTCAAAGGGTTGGAGGAATCCCTTTAGGGAAGGCCCAAATTCCTGTTTTCCAGCCCAGAATTCCAAAAAGAGGTCTAAGAATCTCAAAGGGTTGGAGGAATCCCTTTAGGGAAGGCCCAAATTTTCCGTTTAGGAATCCTAAATTCTGTTTTTCTTGCCCAGAATTCCAAAAAGAGGTCTAAGAATCTCAAAGGGTTGGAGAAATCTGTTTAGGAAAGGCCCAAATTCCTGTTTTCCAGCCCAGAATTCCAAAAAGAGGTCTAAGAATCATGAAGGGTTGGAGGAATCAGTTTAGGGAAGGCCCAAATTCCCGTTTTCTGGCCCAGAATTCCAAAGAGATGTGTAAGAATCATGAAGGGTTGGAGAAATCTGTTTAGGAAAGGCCCAAATTCCTGTTTTCCAGCCCAGAATTCCAAAAAGAGGTCTAAGAATCTCAAAGGGTTGGAGAAATCTGTTTAGGAAAGGCCCAAATTCCTGTTTTCCAGCCCAGAATTCCAAAGAGAGGTCAAAGAATCATGAAGGGTTGGAGGAATCAGTTTGGGGAAGGCCCAAATCTTGCTTTTCCAGCCCAGAATTCCAAAAAGAAGTCTAAGAATCATGAAGGGTTGGAGGAATCCGTTTGGGGAAGGCCCAAATTCTGTTTTTCTTGCCCAAAATTCCAAAAACAGGTCTAAGAATCATGAAGGGTTGGAGGAATCCGTTTGGAGAAGCCCTAAATTCTGTTTTTCTTGCCCAGAATTCCAAAAACAGGTCTAAGAATCATGAAGGGTTGGAGGAATCTGTTTAGGGAAGACCCAAATTCCCGTTTTCCAGCCCAGAATTCCAAAAAGAGATCTAAGAATCATGAAGGGTTGGAGGAATCAGTTTTGGGAAGGCCCAAATTCTGATTTTCCAGCCCAGAATTCCAAAAAGAGGTCTAAAAATCCCAAAAGGTTGGAGAAATCGGTTTAGGAAAGGCCCAAATTCCCATTTTCCAGCCCAGAATTCCAAAAAGAGGTCTAAGAATCATAAAGGGTTGGAGGAATCAGTTTGGGGAAGGCCCAAATTCTGCTTTTCTTGCCCAGAATTCCAAAAAGAGGTCTAAGAATTCCAAAGGGTTGGATGAATCAGTTTGGGGAAGACCCAAATTCCCGGTTTCCAGCCCAGAATTCCAAAAAGAGGTCTAATAATACCAAAAGGTTGGAGAAATTGGTTTAGGGAAGACCCAAATTTCCGGTTTCCAGCCCAGAATCCCCGAGGGAGGAAGGAAGAGCTGACAGGTGTGACCATTTCCCTTCTCCTCTGCAGGGATGAGACCCCAGGGAGGGTCCTGGCCCCGGGCACTGCCCACCCACCTCTGGTTTATTTATTTATGGATTTATTTCAAACACGACCACGGGTGCTGGGCCCAGCCCAGGCCCGGCTGGTGGACAAAAATTTGGGGAAAATGTTCTCCCAACTGCTCAACTCGCCGCTAAAATTCTGTTTGGTGCCTTCCCGGCGCTCAGAGAGAGCAGGTGGGGTGCCACATCCAACTTCTCCGTGTGTCCCACCAAAGATTCAGATAAATTCAGATAAAAACCAACAATTCGGTTTGGATTTGCCACAATTCAGATAAATTCAGCCAAAACCCAAAAATTCACAGATAAATTCAGATAAAAACCAAAACTTTGGCTCGGATTTGCCACAATTCAGATGAATTCAGATAAAAACCAACAATTCGGTTTGGATTTGCCACAATTCAGATAAATTCAGCCAAAACCCAAAAATTCACAGATAAATTCAGATAAAAACCAAAACTTTGGCTCGGATTTGCCACAATTCAGATGAATTCAGATAAAACCCAAAAATTCAGTTTGGATTCACCACAGTTTTGACAAATTCTTTCACACAAACCTCGTGGTGCGCGATTTATCCCCCATTAACGCAATTTATGGATTTTACCTGTGGCCGAGGTTGGGTCAAAGGCAAACCTTGGTGTCACACCTGTGTGCAACCGCCCCCTCCCCACCCCACCTTAACTGGCCCCGCGGCCGCCCTGCCAAACGTCATTTTCCGGAAAATTATCCGCTGGAAATAATCCCCTCCTCAATAACGGGCCCTGGAATCCTCTCCTACATGACATGATCAAATTTTCATAAAGCAGGGGCAGCTTTGGAGAACAGGACTCTTAATAAATGACACGATTATGGAGTGCAGGCCGACGCGGAGGGGCGAGGGGAGGATTTATTAAGAAGCGACGCATTCAATTTCTGCGCCTAAGTAATTCTCTTTTATTTCATTCCGGGGGCCCGACAGAAACCTGCGGCGGCGGAGGCGGAGGCGGCGGCGGCGAGAAAAGCCCCCCGGGCTCCTCGGCCTCCAAGAGGGCGCGCACGGCCTACACCAGCGCCCAGCTGGTGGAGCTGGAGAAGGAATTCCACTTCAACCGCTACCTGTGCCGGCCGCGGCGCGTGGAGATGGCCAACCTGCTGAACCTCAGCGAGCGCCAGATCAAGATCTGGTTCCAGAACAGGAGGATGAAGTACAAAAAGGATCAGAAATCCAAAGGCATGGGCGGCTCTTCCTCCGGAGGGCCTTCCCCCGCGGGCAGCCCCCCGCAGCCCATGCAGGCCTCGGCGGGGTTCCTCAACGCCTTGCACCCCATGAGCGGCGCCTACGAGGCGCCGTCGCCGCCTTCCTTCAGCAAACCCCACCAAAACGCCTACGCCGTGGCCGCCCCCGGCTACCAAGCGCCCCTGAAGGGTTGCCCGAGCCAGCAGAAATACGCCGGGGCCGCCGCCGCGGCCGAGTACGAGCCGCACGTCCTGCAGGCCAACGGCGTGGCCTACGGGACGGCCGGCATGCAGGGCAGCCCCGCGTACGTCGGAGGGAACTTTGTGGATTCTCTGCCCGCCTCGGGCCCGGCCCTTTACGGCCTCAACCACCTGGCCCACCACCAGGCCGCCGGCGTGGACTACGGAGGGGTCCCCCCGGGCCAGCCCCACGGACCGTGCGAGAGCCACGCCGCGTACGCGGAGCTCTCGTCGCACCACGCGACTTCTCAGGGCAGAATCCAAGAGGCGCCCAAGCTCACCCACCTGTGAGAGGGGAAGCTGTTTTGGGGAGAAAAAGGGTGGTTTGGGTTTCAGGGATGTTTGTGTTGGGGTTTTTTTTTTCCGGCCTCGTTGGTTTTGGCGGGGTCTTCACGCTCGGGGTTTTGGGGTTTTGTTACGAGCACAAAATCCAAGAGGTTTTGGTGGCTTTGGAGGGGAGGAACCTCGTGGGTTTTGACGCAAGTTCTTCTGAAACGGGCTTGGGGTGGTTTTGTGGGAATTCTGCAGGGTTTGAGTGGCCAAATCCATCGTTTCCAAGCCACGTCCGGGTCGTCACCGATAATTCCCGGATGTCGGGAAGGAGAAGAGTCCGCCAGTCAAGTTTTGGGGTCTCTGTGTCCAAAAAACCCCCAAAGAGATCCACCAGGAATCTCCCCCGTCCTCCGAGTCCTTCTCCCGATCCACCTGTGCGTTCCTCCCCAGCGGAAAAGGGAAAAACCCGATTTCCCACGGGAAAAACCCGATTTCCCACGGGAAAAACCCGATTTCCCACAGGAAAAACCCAATTTCCCACGGGAAAAACCCAAATTCCAGCTGGAAAAAGGAACAATCCCATTTCCCACAGTGTAACTCCCCACCGAATCCCCCAAACCTGCAAATCCCCACACCCGCCAAGGCCCGGGAGCCACGCCCGTCCCTCCAGGCCCTGCTCCCCCCCTCCAAAACAACAACACAAAAAAATGTTTTTAAAAATTCGGGATGAGAGAGGTCTAACCCCGCAAAGGGTTGAGGAAATTGTTGGCAACGCCTAAATCCCCCTTTTTTCCCCCCCACCCAAAATTCCAAAGAGAGGAAGAAAGAGCTCCCAGGTCTGAACATTTCCCTTCCTTCGCCTCTGCTGAGGCGAAATCTCAATTTCTCCATTTGGGGAGGGTTTCTTTTTTTTGGGGGATGGGGTGTTTTTTAGGGTTGATGAGCAGAAAAAAAAAAGCAATTTGGGGAAATCCTGAGCTTCTTTCCTCCTCTCCTTTGAGCTGACGTGAAAACAGGGTATATTTGAGCAGAGGGAATGTCCTCCCACGGAAGCAGAAGCCGAGGGATCCTGGGATCTGCTGACGCTTTCCTGCCTGGACATCTTTGTTGCACTTAGAGTTTACATATAATGGGTATTAAAAAAATTAATAATAATAATAATAATAAATAAAAGCGACTTTGAAGGGCTCTCAGCTCCGTCGAGGCGCCCTTCAGTTAGGTGTGTGTTCTGGTGAACATTCTTATATATTTATTGGTTATAGCCAGTTGAATTTTTTTTTTTTCTTTTCTTTTTTTTTATTATTTATCCCCCCCCCCCCAAGACCATGTATTTATATGAGGGAAAAGCAACGAAACAAAAAAAAACCACGACAAAAATAAGAATCAAACGGTACTTTTTTAGTATTTCCTTCCAAAAAAAAAAAAAAAAAAAAAAAAAAACAGAAAAAAACTAAAAAAAAAAAATTAAAAAAAGAACCTTGTGTTCCCCTTGTCACTGTACCACGAGCTCCTTTTAGTTATGGTAATTTAGGGAGAAGCAGTAGTTTTATGAATAATGTAATTAGTTCTACTGGAGGCATGAGAGCAGAAGCAGACTGTAATTGTTTAGTCCTGAATTAGAAGAATTTCATCGCGGCTCCCTCCCCTCCCTCCCCTCCTCGCCGGAGCTCTTCCTTTGTTCTTCCAGTAGTTCTTTTCTTTCCTCCCTTCGAGGCTTGTCTGCTCAACAATTCCTGAATAAACTTTTCTGTTCTCCGTTTTATCTCGTCCCTCCCGTCCCTCGGGTTTGGAGGGGGAAAAGGATTTGAAGGGGGAGAGGGGGAAAAAAAAAAAAATGAAATTGTTGAGGTGGGGAGGAAGGAGAGGGATGGAGAGCGGAGCCCGCTTTGGGGTGAAATCCTGGGAATTCGGGCCCACAAAGAGGGATCACGTGGAGCCGGGGCAGGGCTGCCATTGGAGAGGGAAGGAAAACAAAGGGAAAAGGATTAATCACGAGAAATGAGAAATAAAAACAAGGAGAGGGAAAAATAAAAGAGAGGAGAAAAAGGGAAAAATGGCTCCGTGTTTCCACGCGGGGCCTTGGGAAGCGACGAGGAATGAAACCCATAATTTCTAGGGCAATTAATTGAATATTAAATAATTAAATTCTGGCGAGAACGATTGAGTTCTGGCCGAAACAACGGAATTGTTTCCGAAACAGGAGCGTGCGGCGCCCAGCCGCGCCTCCCCGCGCACCCCAAATTTGGGTTAAAAGAGGGAAAAAAGCCCCCAGAAAAGGCGAAAGTGAAAGGGGAGAACAAACCTGGGCCAGGGCGGAGAACGCCGTGAATAATTCGCTTTTTATGCTCCAAAGCCCTGAGAAAACTCCCGTTAAAACTGCGAGGGGCAATAAAAGTTTTATGGCGCTGGGAAGGCTGGAAAGGAGCGGGGGAGGAGGAGGAGGAGGAGGAGGAAGGGGGGAAGGAAAGGAGGATTTTGGATTTTCACTGCAGACGTGAGAAAAGGTGGAAAAGCTGGGAAAGGTACCCAAAAAAAGGGGAAAAAATTAAAAAAAAATAAAAAGGAAGGGGGTTGAGGTGTAGAGGCAGCGTGTGGGGTTTGTGTTTTGTAATTTATAATTTTAATATATTTTAATATAGTTTATATTTTTGTGTTTTATCTAGTTTATACATTTATATATATAATATATTATATAAAATATATGTTATGTGTGGCCGCAGCTCCCTCCACAGAGAGCAGCAGGCACGTGTGAAGTGTTAAATACGTGATATATTATATATGACATATTTTATAGCCTACATCCTCTATTTTACATAGCACGGCTTCGTATTTCTTACATATTTTATTCTCCACATTTTATATTCCACTCCCAACACCCGGCATTTCCTACACCGCATTTCCTACATCGCATTCCTACATTTCATTTATTTCACCTTTTCCTCGTTTCATCCACCTGTGTGCACTATGCTCCAAAGCCCTGAGAAAACTCCCGTTAAAACTGCGAGGGGCAATAAAAGTTTTATGGCGCTGGGAAGGCTGGAAAGGAGCGGGGGAGGAGGAGGAGGAGGAGGAGGAAGGGGGGAAGGAAAGGAGGATTTTGGATTTTCACTGCAGACGTGAGAAAAGGTGGAAAAGCTGGGAAAGGTACCCAAAAAAAGGGGAAAAAATAAAAAAAATAAAAAGGAAGGGGGTTGGGGTGTAAGGCAGAGCGTGGGGTTCGTGTTTTGTAATTTATATATTTTAATATATTTTAATATAGTTTATATTTTTGTGTTTAATGTGGTTTATACATTTATATATAATATATTATATAAAATATATATTATGTGTGGCCGCAGCTCCCTCCACAGAGAGCAGCAGGCACGTGTGAAGTGTTAAATATGTGATATATTATATATGACATATTTTATAGCCTACATCCTCTATTTTACATAGCACGGCTTCGTATTTCTTACATATTTTATTCTCCACATTTTATATTTCACGCCCAACACCCGGCATTTCCTACACCGCATTTCCTACATCGCATTCCTACATTTCATTTATTTCACCTTTTCCTCGTTTCATCCACCTGTGTGCACGGGACAAACCCCCGGGGGATTAAATAAAAATTCTGGTGGAGAAAACCTCACGTGAGAAACGACACCGAGCTCCGATCCAAACCAAGTCTCAGCTTAAAAATTAAAACTGTAATTAAAAATAATCATAAATAATAACGGGATCTGGAGCATCGAGGCCTCAAGGGAAAATTTCCCATCCCGGCCCGTGAAATATTTTTAATTTAAAACCAAAATTTAAAATTTCTTTTTAATAATAAAATGATTCAATCATCGCTGGCTGGGTTGGGATCATTTCTGTTTCCCCGCTCCCATTCCCGGATAATTTATAATTTTAATATATTTTAATATAGTTTATATTTTTGTGTTTTATCTAGTTTATACATTTATATATATAATATATTATATAAAATATATGTTATGTGTGGCCGCAGCTCCCTCCACAGAGAGCAGCAGGCACGTGTGAAGTGTTAAATACGTGATATATTATATATGACATATTTTATAGCCTACATCCTCTATTTTACATAGCACGGCTTCGTATTTCTTACATATTTTATTCTCCACATTTTATATTTCACGCCCAACACCCGGCATTTCCTACACCGCATTTCCTACATCGCATTCCTACATTTCATTTATTTCACCTTTTCCTCGTTTCATCCACCTGTGTGCACGGGACAAACCCCCGGGGGATTAAATAAAAATTCTGGTGGAGAAAACCTCACGTGAGAAACGACACCGAGCTCCGATCCAAACCAAGTCTCAGCTTAAAAATTAAAACTGTAATTAAAAATAATCATAAATAATAACGGGATCTGGAGCATCGAGGCCTCAAGGGAAAATTTCCCATCCCGGCCCGTGAAATATTTTTAATTTAAAACCAAAATTTAAATTTTCTTTTTAATAATAAAATGATTCAATCATCGCTGGCTGGGTTGGGATCATTTCTGTTTCCCCGCTCCCATTCCCGGATTTTTCCGGCGCCATGTTGGGCCAGGGATTCCCAGGAAATGGTTAAAATCAGGGAAAAAGGGAAAAAAAAAAACCAATTCCGGGGCGCGCTCGGGGCGGGCGGCGCTGGGTCGGGTTTGCTCCTCCGGAACTCGGGAATTCATCGGGAATTCATCGGGAAAAAAAAAAAGGGATGCGGCGCCTTCCCCTGCACTCGGGGGGTTTTTATCCCCTTTGCCTCCGTGGGATGCGTGGGGAAAAAAAAAAAATAATCCAAATTTCCCAAGAGGTTTTTTCCTTCTTTTTTTTTTTTTTTTTCCTCTCTTTATTTTCCCTCCTCTTTTCATTTTCTCCTCTTTTCCTCTTCTCATTTTCCTCTCTTTTCATTCCCCCTCTTCTCATTTTCTCATCTTTTCATTTCCCCCCTCTTTTCTTTTTTCCACCTTTTCATTTTCTCACCCATTTTCATTTTCTCCCCCTCTTTTCACACTCCCCACTTTTCTTTTTCCCCCCTTTATAATTTTCCCCTCTTTTCATTTCCCTCCTCTTCATTTTTCCACCTTTTCATTTTCTCCCCCCTTTTAATTTTCTCCTTTTCATTTTTCCAACTTTTCATTTTCTCCCCCATTTTCATTTCTTCCCTCCCCTTTTCATCTCCCCACTTTTCCCCCCCTTTCATTTTCCCCCCTTTTCATTTTTCCACCTTTTAATTTTCTCCCCCATTTTCATTTCTTCCCTCCCCTTTTCATCTCCCCACTTTTCCCCCCCTTTCATTTTCCCCCCTTTTCATTTTTCCACCTTTTAATTTTCTCCCCCATTTTCATTTTCTCCCCCTCTTTTCACCCCCCCACTTTTCTTTTTCCCCCCTTTCCACTTTCCCCTCTTTTCGTTGCCCCTCTTCTCATTTTTCCCTCTTTCCATCCCCCCTATTTTCATTTTTCTTTCCCCCTTGCAGCTCCGAAAAGCAGAGACAACTTCTGGCAGCGGCCGGGAAGAATTTTCCATCCCAAATTCCTCCTCTTTATCCCATCCCTCAAACCCGAGGAATTGCAGGCAAACCCCAAACATCCACTTCAAACCAGCCAGCAAGGAGCACAAACCCTTTTTCTGTTTTAAAAAAATAAGATTATTTTCTTTTTAACCATTGATCTGACTAGATCAAACAGATTTTTGGGTGGTTTTGGGACGCGAATCCACAAATCTCTCAGGGAAATCCGGGTTGGCGCTGGGTATTTTTTTAATTATTGTAATTATTTTCTTTACCCCCGCTTGCTGAACGAGCTTTAGATTTATTCCCCAACCCTCCCCACCCACGCAGATGCTTGAAGTGACAAAAGTTTCCAGGCTGCTCCCTGCGGGAATGGAGCCTCCCAGTCCCTCCCGGCCCCAAACTGGGACAACCAAGGGCAGGGAATGGACAGGGGAAAAGTGTAGGAATGGGCAGAGAAAGGGGCTGGAACGGGGATGGAACCGGGAAGGAACAACGATGGAACCGGGATGGAACGGGACTGGAACCAGGAGGGAATGGGAGAAAACGGGGCTGGAACGGGCAGGGAATGGGCAGGAAAGGGCAGGGAAAGTGGGAATGCCGGGAAGGACAGGCAGGGCACGGGACACGGACAGGATGGGCAGGGAAAGCAGGACAGGGAACACCAGGAAGGACAAGAAAGACAGGCAGGACAGGAGGCAGGTGAAGGACAGGAAGGGACTGGGAACAACAGGCAGGATGTTCATTCTGGGGTGCTGCTGGCTTTTCTGGGGCTCCTCTCTCTCTCGCTTTTTTAACCCCCCTCCCTTTTTTTTTTTTTTTTTTTTTTTAATCAATTAAAGAAAATAATGCTTTCTGTTTGCCACCAGGCCCCTCCTGCCATTGGCCAGGGCCTCCCACGTGACGAGGAATTGGCTGCAATTTCGCCCCAGCCTCGAGTTTAGCAGAGCAGGGTCCCGCTCCGCCTGTGTTATCGGCAATATAACAATTATAAAAAGCCCGAGGACCGTCATCATCCCCGCCAACAAAAACCCGAGGCCTTCCGATTTCTCTCCCTCTCCCCCTCCTCCTCCTCCTTCTCCCTCTCCCCCGCCTCCCTCCCGCTTTTTAAACCCCGGGCCCTGGAAAAAGCCATGAATTTTGAATTTGAGAGGGAGATCGGGTTTATAAATAGCCAGCCTTCGCTCGCTGAGTGCCTGACGTCTCTCCCCGCTGTCCTGGAGACATTTCAAACTTCATCAATCAAGGACTCGACATTAATTCCTCCTCCTTTTGAGCAAAGCGTCCTCCAAAGCCTCAGCCCTTGTTCCGGCAGCCGGGCGAGCCCGAGGAGCCCCAGCCGAGCCCCCCATGGCCCGGCCCGGCCCCCGGCCCAGCCCGGCCCCCGGGCAGCGCAATTCCCCTGGATGAAGGAGAAGAAATCGTCCAAGAGGACCAGCCAGGCTCCGTCCCCACCATCCTCCTCCTCCTCCTCCTCGCTGCCGGTGCCCGCCGCGGGATCCCCCGCAGGTTCGTATGGCCGGGGGGTGCGTCGGGAAATGGCCAATTCCGCTCGCCTGGCCCCAAAAGAGCCCCGGCCCATCCCCCTGCCCAGGGGGGGCTCCCCCGGGATCGGGGGATTCACGGAGCGATGTCCCCAGCCCGGGCTCGGGGGGGTTCCGCCGCCTCCTCCCTCCCGCCGCGAATTAAAAAATACAAATTTCTGCAAGTTCTGGAGAAGCCCCGAGCGAGGAGAGCCCGGGAGGGGTCCTGGGGTGGGGGGTTTGCAACTCCCCTTGTTCGGCTTTCAATGCCAGAGCTGCCTGGAGGGAAAAATAAAAATAAAAAAAATTTAAAAAAATTAAAAAAAGGGAAAAGCAAAGACAACAAAACCACCAAGGAGCGCCGAGGGGGGAAGGAAAATGGGTGGGGAAGGTGCCAGAAGGGTGGGGAGGGGAAAGAGCGGGGGCTGATCCTACAAAATGGAATTATTACACCCCAAAACACCCCCAGAAAACGGAGCAGCACCTCGCTGCTCAGCCGCTTTCTTTCCCTCGGGATAAAGTGCTGGAGGAACAATTCCAGGATTTCCACGGCTCGGGTAAAATCGGGCAGGACAAGGGCAGGAAAGCGGAGCTCATTGGCCGGGGAAAATTGGAATAATGGAACCAAAGCACCGGGAAAAAGGTAAAAAAAATCCAAGAAAAACCCAAAAACCCCCCAAGAAAACAAAACAACAAAAAAACAGGAAAGAAGGAATTTATGAATTTAGAAGAAATTTAGAAGAGATTTAGAAGAACCTTAGAAGAAATTTAGAAGAGATTTAGGAGAACCTTAGAAGACATTTAGAAGAGATTTAGGAGAAATTTAGAAGAAATTTAGAAGAGATTTAGGAGAAATTTAGAAGAGATTTAGAAGAAATTTAGAAGAGATTTAGAAGAGATTTAGAAGAGATTTAGAAGAGATTTAGAAGAAATTTAGAAGAGATTTAGAAGAAATTTAGAGGAGATTTAGAAGAGATTTAGAAGAAATTCAGAAGAAATTTAGAGGAGATTTAGAAGAGATTTAGAAGAAATTTAGAAGATATTTAGAAGAGATTTAGAAATTCCCTAGATTTCAGCGATTTAGAAGGAAGTTAGAAATTCTTTTTTCCCTGCAGGGCGGCAGAGAGGGAAGGGCTCTAAAGGGAGAGACCAGGGAGCAAAATCCCTTTTCCCCCCCGGAGGCAGCGAAAACTCCTCCGGAGGAGCGGGAAAAGTTGAATTAACCCATTTTTCCCCGGCGGAGCCGTGCCGAGCTCCTCTCTTTGGTGACGTTCTCCTGTAATTTTTCCCTCGGCAGAGGCCGCGGGGCTGTCGGAGAGCGGCGGCTCCCGGCGTCTCCGCACCGCCTACACCAACACCCAGCTGCTGGAGCTGGAGAAGGAATTCCACTTCAACAAATACCTGTGCCGGCCGCGGCGCGTGGAGATCGCGGCGCTGCTGCAGCTCACCGAGCGCCAGGTCAAGGTGTGGTTCCAGAACCGCCGCATGAAGCACAAGAGGCAGACGCAGCACAAGGAGGAGCCCGTTTCGGCCGGCCGCGACGGAAGCGGCGAGGCCGAAAGCTGCCCCGCGTTGGGCGCCACCGAGGAGAGCGCGGCGCCCGAGCTGGGGGCGTTCGCGGCCGAGACGTGCCCCGAGCTCGCCCGGGGGTTTTCTCCTGCCGCTGAGGGGTCTCTGGGGAGCCCCCTGCGCTTCTCCGAGGAGGAGCTGGAGTTCTTCAGCAGCGCGCTCTGCACCATGGACCTGCAGGATTTGGATTTTCCCTAGCGGGGCGACGCGCTCCTGCTCTGCCCCGAGGGTTTGGGGAGGGTCAGCCTGGGAGCAGACACTGCCAGCACCCCGAAATCTGGCCTGAGAGAAGGGGAACCCCCAAAAAAATGGCCTGAGAGAAGGGGAACCCCCCAAAAATCTGGCCTGAGAGATGGGGAACGCCCAAAATTTGGCCTGAGAGAAACTGAACCCCCAAAATCTGGCCTAAAAGAAGAGGAACCTCCAAAATCTGGCCTAAAAGAAGGTGAACCCTCAAGATCTGGCCTGAGAGGAACTGAATCCCCAAAATCTGGCCTGAGAGATGGTGAACCCCCAAAATCTGGCCTGAGAGAAGGACAACCCCCAAAATATGGCCTGAGAGAAGGACAACCCCCAAAATATGGCCTGAGAGAAGGACAACCCCCAAAATATGGCCTGAGAGAAGGAAAACCCCCAAAATATGGCCTGAGAGAAGGGGAACCCTCAAAATCTGCCCTAAGAGAAACTGATTCCTCAAAATCTGGTCTAAAATAAGAGGAACCCCCAAAATCTGGCCTGAGAGATGGTGAACCCCCAAAATCTGGCCTAAAAGAAGGGGAAAACCACAAATCTGGCTCAAAAGAAGGGTGAAACCCCAAATCCGCCCTAGAAGAAGGGGAATCCCCCCAAAATCTGGCCCAAAAGAAGGGGACCCGTCCTAAAACCCGTGCTAGAAGAAGGGGAACCCCTCCCTCGCATCCCAACCGGAATTTTGGGGCCACCAGACACTGCCCACACCCCAAAATCCACCCTAAAAGAAGGGGGAAACTCCAAATCTGGCCTAAAATAAAGGGGAAACCCCAAAATCTGCTCCAAAAGAAGGGGAACCATCCCAAAATCTGTGCTAGAAGAAGGGGAACTCCCAAAATCTGCCCTAAAACAATGGCCCATACCCCAAAATCTGCCCTGAAAGAAGGGGGAACCCCAAAAATCTGGCTTAAAAGAAGGAGAACTCACCCTAAATCTGCCCTAAAAGAAAGGTAACCCCTAAAATCTGCCCTGAATGAAGGGGGAACCCCCAAAGTCTGGCTTAAAAAAGGAGAACTCACCCTAAATCTGCCCTAAAAGAAGGGTAACCCCCCAATATCTGCCCTAAAACAGGGGCCCACACCTCAAAATCGGCAATAAAAGATGAGGAACCCCCCCAAATCTGCCCTGAAAAAAGAGGAACCCCCCCAAATCGGCCCTAAAAGAAGGGGAACCCCCAAAATCACCCCCAAGCCATTTCCCATCCAGTCGCCTCCTCCCACTTCCGTTTGGAAGCTCCAAACCCCCTCCCAATATTTATTCCAGAAGGTGAAAGAGCCGCCCGAGTTTTGCTAAAATTCAGGTATTTCCTGATGGTTTTATTTATTTTTTTCCCCCCCTTATTTATTTCCAAGGAAGCAGCCGGTAGTTCTCACTCACGGGGGCGATTTCAGCCCCTCGAGACAAAAATAAATGAAATTTATAAATCCTCCTCCCCAGCGACTTTCTCAGGAATCAGAAGGAGACTTTTAGATTTCGTAATAAAATTTTTAAAAATAAAATTAAAAAAAAAAAAATCAGGGGAATTTTCCTTCCTCTTTTTACGTTTTAGATGTAGATTATTTATTCAAATCCTTTCGTAGCAAAGGGCAAATTATTTATTGTATATTATTTTCATAGAGTGAATAAACGTCTTTATAAAAGCGACCAACGTGTTTGCTCTGGATTTCACTCCAAAAAAAAGCTCCTTTTTTTCTGTTTTCCTCCATAAATCATTCCTTTTTCCCCTGCTTTGTAATGAGGTTTAATAATCTCCTCGTGTTCCCTGAGAGGAGACAAAAGGAATCGCTCCCAAGCAACAATTCCAGAGGAAATATTCCCTGAATCCTGCTTTCATTTCGCTCCAGCTTGGTGTTTATTTATTTATTCAATCATTTATTTATTGTGTTCAATCAAAGCGGGGTGGTTATTTCTTAATTTTAGCATTTTGGGGGTTTGCTTCTAGGACGGGAAAAATCCTCTAATTTAAGGGGAAAAAAACGAAAAAAACCCAAATAAAAAAAACTAAAAAAGGGGATAAAGGGATGGGAAAACAACACAAAGGCAGCGCGGAGCCCACGCGAATTCCGGGGCCATTCCCGGCCTCCCACACCCCAATCCCGCCCTTCATCCCCATCCTCCTCCTCCTCCTCTTTCTCTCAGAATCCACCGCGGTTCCCGGGCTTTGAAACGTCCGGAGCTGCAAAGAAACGAGGCAAAAAAAAAAAAAAAAAAGAAAAAAAAAGAAAAAGGAGGATTTTGGGTAAAAGCTCCAAAAATTTCCACACGTTGGGGGGACCAAGTGAACGTGAGAGAAGGAGGGGTAAGGGATGGGCCTGGGGGGGCTTTCTTCATTCCTCCTCCCTTTTCCAGCCCCAAAACCCCCAAAACCCCTTTATTCTTCCTCTCCTTTCCAACCCCAAAACCCCTTTATTCATCCCCCCTTTTCCAGCCCCAAAACCCCTTTATTCCTCCTCCCTTTTCCAGCCCCAAAACCTCCAAAACCCCTTTATTCCTCCTCCCTTTTCCAACCCCAAAACCCCCAAAACCCCTTTATTCCTCCTCTCTTTTCCAACCGCAAAACCCCTTTATTTCTCCTCCCTTTTCCAACCCCAAAACCCCCAAAACCCCTTTATTCATCTTCTCTTTTCCAACCCCAAAACCCTTTTATTCCTCCTCCCTTTTCCCACCCCAAAATCCCTTTATTCCTCCTCCCTTTTCCAACCCCAAAACCCCCCAAACCCCTTCATTTCTCCTCCCTTTTCCAGCCCCACAGACCCCAAACCCCCCGGATCCTCGATCTCCTTTGGGATTTCTGGATCCCTTTCAAACCTTCCTCCCCTCTCGGGATTTTCACCCCAAAACTCATCCCGGGGTGGGTTTGGGGGAGGTTTCCCCAGAGGAATGACCCCAAGAAGGCTTTGGGGTCTCCCAAATTCTGGGAGGAGTCCAGGAGGGGTTTGAGCCCGGGGGGATGGGAAATGTGGGGCGGGGGGCGACCCTAAAAATGAGCGCAGCACCCCAGACTCTCCCCCAGCCCCTTTTTCTTTAGGGTGAAGCAAGCCCGGCTGGCTCGTTCGGCTTTTGGGGTGTCCCCCCAACCCACACGCAGATTTTTGGGGTGAATTTGGTGTTTTCAGTGCCCGGGTGGGGTCGGAGAATTTGGGATCTTTTATTTGGGGTTCAAAGCAGCGGAGCCGGGCTGGGTTCACGCCGCGGGCCGTAAAGAGAAAATAAACGAAAAAGCGAAATAAAAGAAGGCAAAGGCTCGGCAGATGTTTCGGAAATCGCTGTGGATGATCTCTCTCGGCTCGAACAAAGAGGAGGCGGGGTGATTTTAGGGCCGCTGTTGATCCCGAACCATCTTCCCCCCAAATCTTCCCTCCAGGAAAGGAGCCGGCAGCTCCAAAGCCTCGTTTGTCCGGCTTGTCCGTTTGTCCGGATCCAACGTCCTCTCCGGCCGTGGATATCGGGACATCGGAGCACCCAAAGCCCCCTTCCCAGCGGGGTTCCGCTCCTGGGAGCCACCAGCACCCCCTGCCCCTCTCCCACCGCCTCCCCTCGGCTCCGGGGGACCGCGAGTTCGGGGGGGCAGCGGAGCCCCGCGGAAGGCGATTCGTAATTTTGGGGTTTGTTTAATACCCGCGGAGCGCTCGGCGGCCGCCTCGGAGCGGCCAGCCGGTGTCTATCAAAGCGCCATTTGTTCCAGCGCTTCGCACGTTTCCCCTCCTCCTCCATTCCAGGCCAGCAGGCAAAGCTCGGCCCTGCCCCGGGATGGTTTTGGGCTCTGAGCATCCTTTTGGCCTCTCCAGGGACGGCCCCTCCTGCATCCAGCTGGAAAATGAGGGAAAAAATACCCAAAAAGCGGCGGGTTTCCACGCTGAGAGGCTCTTCAGCCCAAAAATGAGAGGAAGTGTCCCCAAACCGGCGGGTTTCCACACTGAGATGCTCTTCAGCCCAAAAATGAGAGGAAATGCCCCCAAACCTGCGGGTTTCCACACTGAGAGGTTCTTCAGCCCAAAAATGAGAGGAAATGTCCCCAAACCGGCGGGTTTCCACACTTAGATGCTCTTCAGCCCAAAAATGAGGGGAAATGTCCCTAAACCGGCGGGTCCGGCCGGTTTCCACACTGAGAGGCTCTTCAGCCCAAAAATGAGGGGAAATGTCCCCAAACCTGCGGATTTCCACATTTCCACGCCCTTTTCCCGTGGGGAAGGAAGGAGGGGAAGGGCGAGGCCGAGGGAGGGGTCAGGAGGGACCCCCCTGGCAAAGGGATGGGAAAGGGGTCCCTAAACCCCCCAAATTAAACTCTGAGCCTTCACTGCTACAAATCCCTAATGGGGGAGGGAAAAGGGGTCCCAAAGCCCCCCCCCGAGATTAAAGCCAGAGTTCTTATCAATAAAAATCCCTATTCAGGGTGGGAAAAGGGACCCGAACCCCCCCAAATTAAACACCGAGTTCTTATCTATAAAAAGCCCTGATGAGGGCTGGAAAAGAGACCCCAAAGCCCCCCCAAATAAAACCCCCAGCCCTCATCAAGACCAGTCCCTAATGAGGGTGGGAAAAAGACCCCAAAGCCCTCCACAAATCAAACCCCGAGTTCTTGTGGATGCAAATCCCCAATGGGGGAAGGAAAAGGGGTCCCAAAGGCCCCCCAGATCAAACCCCGAGTTATTCTGTCTGCAAATCCCTAATGAGGGGGGAAAAGGGACCCCAAAACCCCTCCCCAAATTAAACTCCGAGATCTTATTGATAAAAATCCCCAAGGAGAGAGGGGAAAGGGACCCCAAACCCTCCCCAGACCAAAGGCCGAGCCCTCATCGATACCAATCCCTGATGAGGGTGGAAAAGAGACCCCAAAGCCCTCCCCAAATTAAACCCCGAGTTCTTATTGGTACCGATCCCTGATGAGGGTGGGAAAAGAGACCCCAAAGCCCCCCAGATCAAACCCCAGATCTTACCCATACAAATCCC